TTTTTTTTTTTTATTTTTTTATTTTTTTCATTTTTCTTTTATTATTCATATGTGCATACAAGGATTGGTTCATTTCTCCCCACTGCCCCCACCCCCTCCCTTACCACCCACTCCACCCCCTCCCTCTCCCCCCCCTCAATACCCAGCAGAAACTATTTTGCCCTTATCTCTAATTTTGTTGTAGAGAGAGTATAAGCAATAATAGGAAGGAACAAGGGTTTTTGCTGGTTGAGATAAGGATAGCTATACAGGGCATTGACTCACATTGATTTCCTGTGCGTGGGTGTTACCTTCTAGGTTAATTCTTTTTGATCTAATCTAGTACCTTTTCTGCTTTAAGGTATCTGTAGTTTCTCTGTTGCTAGCTTTTCCTATCTTGTGTGCCTCACTTTTATCATGTGCTCAAAGTCCAATCCCCTAGTTGTGTTTGCCCTTGATCTAATGTCCACATATGAGGGAGAACATATGATTTTTGGTCTTTTGGGTCAGGCTAACCTCACTCAGAATGATGTCATAATTTATATCATATATATCATATATTTTTGTCATACTCTTTCTCTGTAGTTACTGATATTTTCATAAATATATTTGGCTGCTAATTAGTGAATTATGTTGATTCATTTTTAAATGTTAAGTGGACCTTACATTCCTGGGAGATTATCTTCCTTATATATACTATTTGAATTGATTTATTAAAGTGTCATAAGTGAGTTTTGTATCGATGGTCATGAAGGATATTGGCCTCTAGTTTCTTTTTTCTTCTAATGTCTTTGTCTTGTCTGGTTTTGTATTTTGAGTATTTTTAGGATAATGATGCTTCCTTCATAAGATGAATTGGGAAGTATTTCCTCCTCCTGTATTTTATAAGTTTGCTTAGCTCCTGTATTCTTTCTCTCTCTCTCCTTTTTTTTGGTGATACTGGAATTTAAACTCAGGGGTTCATGCTTTCTAGGCAGGTGCTCTACTACTTGAGCTATTCCGCCAGCCCTTTTTTGTGTTGGATATTTTCAAGATAGGTTCTTGCAAACTATTTGCCAGGGCTGGCTTCGACCCATGATCCTCCTGATCTCTACCTCCTGACCAACTAGGATTACAGGTGTGAGCCATAGGCACCTGGCTTACCTGTATTGTTTCTTAAATATTTGATAAAATTCACTAGTGAAACTTTACTCACCTGGATTTTGTTGAAGGTGGATTTTAAATTATTAATTAAATTTCTTTAGTAGATATGTAACTATTTACAGTGTATAATTCTTTTGGATTGACCTTTAGTATTTTAATAGTCTTTGAAGCTATGTCCATTTAGTCTAAAATAGCAGATTTATTGGCATAAAGATGTTGATAATATCCTGTTAGCATCCACTTGAAGTCTATACATGTTGCCTTTTAATTTCTATTCTCTCATCATTGTCTTAATTGATATAGTTAAAAGTTGATCAGTTTTATTGATGTTTTCCAATAAATGCCGATTGATTTTCTATTTTTACTATTATTTTATTAATTTTATGCTTTATTAATTCCTCACTTCTGCACACATAGGGCTTAATTAATATTTCTTTTCCCACTTTCTCTAAGTGAAAGCTTAGATCATTGAGTTTAGACCTTTCTACTTTTTAAAATATAAACATTTAGTGCTATATAGTTACCTCAAAATGCTGCTTTAACTGTGTTTACCAAATTTCAATGTGTTTTTGTATTTCTTCAATTCAAAAGATTTAAAAGTTTTCCTGTGAGTTCTTTATCTACTATTGAGAAGTGTGTTGGTTATTTTCCAATTATTTGGGGATTTCTATGTATTTCTATTATTGATTTCACTTTATTTCCACTAAGGTCAGAAAGTCTACTATGTATAATTTTAATTCTTTGAAAAATTGTAGGATATGTTTTATGGCTCAGAATATTGTCTAAATTAACAGTCCAGTCCATGTTTGTTCTGCTTTGTTGTTTAGAGTATTCATAGCTGTTCATAAACACCATCTGAATGATGGTGTTGCTCAAGTCTTCTGTTATCCTTGCTATAGCAGAGGATTTGTTTGTTTTTACGTTTAATTTTATCAGTGTTTTATAATATGCCTTGAAGCTTTGCTGTTAGGTCCATGAACATTTAGGATTGTTATAATTTCATCAGAAAATAGGTTTTTAAAATCCAGAAATGTTCATCTTTATATCCTTATTCCTAGAAATACATATTATTTTTTGCAGTACTGGGGCTTGATCTCAGAGCCTTTACCTTGAGCCACTCCACATTTCTTTTTGTGACAGGTATTTTTGAGATAGGGTCTCACAAACTATTTGCCTGGGCTGGCTTTGAACCTCGATCCTCCTGATCTCCGCTTCCTGAGTAACTAGGATTACAGGGTGAGCCACCACTGCCTGGCCATTCCTAGAAATACTCTTTGTTCTGAAATCTACTTCGTTTTATATTAATATGGCCACTGTAATAATTTTTCACAAATGTTACCACAAAATATTATTTTTCATCTCTTTACTTTTAACTTACCTGTGTACTTATGTTTTGTTTTACAAAAAGAGTATATTTGGGCCTTGCTTTTTCCTCAAGTCTGACAATTTCTTACTTTCATTTGGAGTATTTAGACCATTTGTATTTAATTTAGACAGCATAATGAAACCCACCAAATGCTGTCTGAAAAAGGGGTAAATGATAGGCTCTTAGATATTCAGTGTGTACAAAAAATTTCTCTTGTTGTCCTCATTCTATTTCTTAGCCTTGCCTATGTTTAGATCCTGGTGATTGAACCCAATCTTTTCTTAGAAAGATAGAGGCCAGATTTGGTGGTGTTCTTAGAAAGATCATGATTATTAACAGAAAAAATGGTGACACAGCCAGCTATCAATGTTAACCAGGTTTGTTCACAAAGAATAAATTAGAGAATGGGGTGGAGAATCATGGACATGGTTTCACACTGTGTCATTGAACATTCTGATCATAAGGGGAGCAAGTGTTTTGGGCTCACCTTCAGCATTACGTGGTCCTTTTACTCTTCTATGGTCAGTGCCAGGGGAAGCCCATGGGACTTGACTCCTGGACAATAAGTATAGACACTCTCTGCCCACAGACATCCTTCTCAACTGAGGGTCTCAGTCAGCCTGATGTGTACCCTGGGCCTGAACCCTGTGGACATTAGGGCTAAAAGTGGTGAGGCCTTTTGGTCTTGTACACCATCCACATTTAGCCCTACTTCTCTGGTCTTTGTGTTCTATGAACTTTACATCTATGTGGAATTAACAGATTCATCTGGGAACACAGACACTTGTGGTCTGGGGCTCAGATCTGTCTCACTGCATATCCGTCCCTTTTCCATTGCAGAGAGTTGAAGATTTAAATTGCTTACAGTGAATTTGTGTTTTCAACATATTTCTTTTCTTTTTAATGTCAGTACCTTCCTTATATTTAATAAAAAATAATAGTTCCTCATTACCAGCTATCATTACAACTTTTTATAATATAAAACACATCATAGGACAAACATCAAACTAGGGATAGAACTTCATGCATTACAAAGCCATCACCCTCTTGACCCCGATATCACTCGTTCTCTCCTGTACCTCTTAATTCATCTTCATTGAACAGTGTCAGATTGTTGTTAGCACTTGCCATTTATTCCTACTTCAGTATCTCTCTTTGTGGTAAATCTTGTCTATTATTAGTAGTCCATTGAGAAACAATTCCAAAGCATTGCTTTACTTCCAGAAAGAATTTTGAGTTGTAGATTTTATTGTTTTCTTTTTGCCTTTGCTTTGGTTTTCTTTCTGGAAACTCAAAGATTTGGCTATCAGACCTCCTCTGGGGTAGACAACTGGAAGCTCTGGTGTCATCATGGGACAGCGGACTATCTATTCAGTACACACCAGATACCATTATCTGATTTATAGGAGCAAATTATAGGAGATTTTTGGTGCCTCATGAGAATGTCCAGTGAATGTAAAGATACTGGATCATTCTATTACATGGAGGATGAAAATGTGTCTCAAGCTGTTTTATTGGAAGATCCACATCCTGTTTACCTTGGACTCCAGGGAGGTCTATCATAGGCTGAGTAGTATTGCACAGAAAAGTCACAACATATAAGTGTTATAGTGTAGAAGGAAAATCTTTTGACCCCTAAATTCACCATCATGTGGGATCTGATCCTCTGCACTGTCCCTAGTCCCATTGATGCTGGTTTCCATGTCAAAATCAGAAACTGTGGAGGAAAGCAACCAAGGGACACCCAGAATATGAACAGCATAGTGAGATCTCTCAGTCACCAGTGAATCATGCTGTTCTATTCACCCAAATTGGATGCTTTTGAGTCTGTGATATGACGAAGATGTATCAACATCTAACATCTTATCCAAAGTGAAAAGAAACAAGCAGGTCACACATGACAATTATAGTCCTATTCTTTACTTCTACTTCCAGAACAAAATTTCTCATTTTTTGACTTCCATTGTGCTTTACACTTTAAATCAGGAATTTCATGAAGCAAAGTTTCTGGCCTTTCCAACCAGCTAAATTTATACAGACACATTTTGTAAAAATGTGTGATGCTGAGTGACAGTAACAGTTCTTTCCTTTGGTCTTCTTTCACTTTTCTTCCTTTTTTGTTTGTTTCTTTCCTTCCATCTAACTTTTAAGACATTCTCCATATGTATCAGAAACAGGCGTCCACCTACAATGCTCCTGCTGAGTGTCCTTATCTCTGAAATTACAAGTGTGTGACTTCACCCATGTCAACATTCCTGTTTTAAAGTGTGTCATTTGTTGAGGTCAGTGGACATTACTTCTATGGGGTCTGCAGACCTCTTACACCATCACTGTGTTTCCCCTTGTTGATGAGTAATGAAGACACATGACACTTAGGATAGTGCCAGGTAGAAATGTTAAATTAGTTCTCCTTTTGCATTTAATGATCCAAATCCAATGTTACAAAGGGAATGAAGCCAAACTTCACTTTTCCATATTTATTATCAAATTAATATTATTTTCACTTCAACAGAAAATGGAGTGTATCTGCAGATCATATAAGGTGGCAGAGGTGCCATTTCTGGACATTAAGCAGTCCAAAACAGAAGGATCTTGCCCTTGATGAAGAAAAAACAAACAATAATGGATTCAACTTAAAGGACACAAAAGGTATTTAAATCTTATTCACAGGTGACTAAGCAGAGGGAATGAGAGCAACTATTAAGATAATGATCATTTTAAGGAACTGGGTATGGGGATGCAGACATTAATACCAATTTTAATAGAAGAGAAAAAAGTAAATTGAACGAGAAATTGAATATCCTGGAGAATTCTCAAAACAAATTCTATAGACCATGTTCATCTGCAAGATGGATGAGATTGATCCCCAAGGTCAGTTTTGTAGATTTAAACAAGATATCTTATATCTGATCTCCATCTGATCATGGAGTACTAGTTAATATAAGATGAATGGATTGAGAAGGAGAATCAGAAGCATTTGTAAATGACCAGGCCACTGGATCCTGTGGCCTTGTATTGGACAGACATTGGTTGGTAGATTAGTAGATATAAAGGAATATCAATATTATGCATAAGGTGAAACAGCAGTTTCAGGACAGCAAATGAACCCCTTATTTGTCCATACCCATCATAATCTCATTAATCCCATATACATTCACTTTATAGTTATAGGGTGTGGTAATCTGTATAGAGGTAAGACCTATTCAGGTACATAGACTAGGAGTCCAATGTTGGCAATTAACTTGACACCTAGAAGAAGAACCACCACCAGATCTACCCCAAATTTACAAACCTGTGATATGGTCATGTACCAAAATAAGAGCTGGTGAGCAATGCATTTTAGAATTACATGGTGTATGTTAACATTAGACTGCTGGACATCTCAGCCAGGCAGATGTTCAGATCCACTGACTCTGAAGATTTGCTATCCTTAATGTAGTCCCAAAGTAGCAAAAAAATTAATCCTGAAAATTCCTGGGTCACAATCAGCTTTCCATCAAGATTGACTAGAGAGAGACCACTATAACTTAAGAATACCTTTTCTAACCCATGACACACACATCACTATTTTGTGATAAAAAGCACCAGGTCATTCTACATGCTGTTAGGACAGAACCATCCATGCCAGAGGAACCTCACCCTTTCCAGTGCCAAACCTAAGCATATCCCCATAAAGAAAGAGTCAGATGCCCAGTTGATTTTTTATCATCCTGTAGAGGCATGGAACAGGTTTTGCAGAGAGCTTACTTATCAACGTACATATTGTTGGTCTCAGCTCTCAGTTGGAGCACCAGTTTCCTGAATTTCAAAACCATCTTCAAAAGTGCTGATAGAACCTGATATTCTTACAAACCATGTTCCATAAGAAGTACCACACACTTTCCTTATAGACTTCCTATGAGGGAACTGATGCAGTTAAAGATGCATCCACAGTGTAAGTAAATTGGACTCAGATGGCTTGGCATATGGAACATGTCATAGGGTTCCTGGAGGTTTCCATAACATAGACTATCTAGAAGATAATGTACATGGGAGAGAATTTTCATGATTGAATGACTATTACTTGTGACATAGGACAACTGTTAATTTATGTCATTGTTTCCAGTAACTCAGGATCAGTGGAAAGGTACAGGAATGGTATTTCAAATCAAGATGGGGACCACTTTTATATCACCATGTTAGCTTACTTCCTCTTTCACCCTGAAATTTTAATAATGTTGCAAGATGTTTCGGGACATATCCCTTTTTTCTAATTTACCCTGATTACATAAATAGAAAATAGACATGTATAGATTTAGAATCCACACAAATACTCCCAATGGACACATTTTGATGGCAAAATTACTGGTATGGAGACCAGTACAGTAACACGCCGCATGTGGCAGGTACTCACTCTGAACATTCTATGATGTCATGCTGCTGTGGTAATGTGTACATTCAAATCTCACCTTCCATTCCAACTGTCACTCAGTGACCTGAGTGGTCATAGCAGACAGCTGTTGGGACATACTCAGATTGATTCAAATTGTTCACAGACATGGGTAACTTGATTTGCTGTGGCAGAGGTGTATGTTCATACTGATATTCTCAATGTCCCCTCTCCAAATAGATTTCTTCACCTTTATTCAATGTAGTACTCTAGTGTGTCGTCATTTCCTGCACTGTAATTTCTCTACTGATTTTGAAATATTTCATAATTTTGTTTTAGTAATTAATTTGTATTATGATCAAACTATTCAAATTATGGATTGTTATAAATTTAGAAAATATATTTTTAATGAAAATTTTGAGCATAGTATTTCACATATTAAACACAGGGGAGCTAACTCATATTGATTTTTTATATTATGAGAGTCTTAAATTTAACATATCAGTTACATTCCATGAAAAGACAGTTATAGGCCAACTCTTCTGGTTGCTGATGCCAAAATTAAAGTCATTGACAGACATGACAAGTTCTGGGACTATAAATAAGGGAATAATTATGTTTGGGGGATGAGCTATCCATTGAAGTTCTGAAGACAGAATCCTCACCCTGTAGAGGATGTCAGGAGAGTGGTGACAAGGAAGATATTGATGATGGAAGTACAGAAGACCTAGGTGTCCCTTCTGGTGTGGACTGGGGCTGTGGCTGTTTCAGTTCACTCTAAAGAAGATGACTCTTCCTATTGAAACTCAGAAACTAGAAAATTGTGGGTGTAAATGAGGCACAGTTTTGTGTGGAAGATAAGGGGCAAGAAGGGCCCTCTTAGAGCAAGATTGTTGTTCAGATGGTCACAAATTGATTCAGATCAATCAGTAGTTGATGTGGGTTCTTATGAAATTCATTAACTAAATCTTGAAGCCCCAAGCCAGAGTGTCACGTGGATCCATGAAGCTGCAATAACTCTTCATCCAGACATGGTCAAGAAAATGAGAATTAATTCTTATTTCAGATGTTTCTCCTGGAAATACTCCTAAAGATCATTTCACTTAGGTGATTGCTGTCCTAGTCTTGAAAAGTGACATCATAATTCATATAGTAATCACTTTCAAACTCTTCTAAGTTTATTGAGACATGCATAGAATTTTGTTAACTGTGACACAAGATTGTGCACAAGAACTTATTCCTCAGGTGCTCTTGAGCTATGCTCAGATGCTTCTGGTTTCTACTATTTTACTTTCTTCTTCCTTAAGATCTCCATTGATATTCCTTCTGTGAGTAAGGTCCTGTAGTATCTATTTTATATATGGCTTGTTTCATGCATCATAATGTCCCCTAGTTCCATCTTTGTTGTTGCAACTGACATGAATATTTTAATTAAAAAAGAACAGAAATGTTTGTGGCATTAATAAATGCTATCCATGAACAATACATGCATGTTTGAAAACATCACATGGTTCCTTTAAAATACATACAGCTGCCTGTCTCAATCAAAACAGTATTTGAACTGTAAATCAATTACTGTTAATTAGACTATCATCTCTGCCAGGAAGAAGTCAAAACCTTTATCTCTTGTCATGCATTTCCCAGGTTGTTGCCTCACTGACAGCACAACACCTCGGAGGTCACGATGTATTCCTAACTGGCCTGGGTGGTATGGCCAAAGAATTCAACTGTGGCCACCCACCAGAGGGAAGCCTGAGGACCAGGCAAATGAAGGTACTGGGGAAATTTAGCCATAGAGTTCATTATTCATCAGTGACTCCAAATAACTGTCATATTTTGCAGAGAAAGTGGTAAATATTTAGGTCATACCCATATATATTGAAGATTTCCAGATTTTAATTCATTCAGTCCTGCTTTAATGGTATAAATACATCACACCTAAAGGTTTTGTGGACTTTTAGGGTAATATCTCAAGTGATTATTTACATATTCACTAAAGTGAAGAACCCTGGCAGAAATAGATCTTCTCACGCAACATTTTGCCACATGTATCATATTAATAGGCTTTATTTGTGACAGATTTGAAAAGCAACATTGAAATGATACCACAGAAAGGTTTCAAATTCCATTCCTTGTTCAAGTCCTTTTTATTTATTTGTTTATTTTACTGATATATCATTTATTTTATTTTATCATAAATGACAGGATTTCATTCTCCCTTATGATCAAGTAAAATTAAATTGTCTATATGTACTGCATCTTCTGTACCCATTCTTCATATGAGCACTTAGATTGTCTCCATGTCTTGGCGCTGTGATTTAGTGTGCTATCTCCCGATACACTCATTCCATTTCCTTTGAAGGAATGCATTTTAATCAGCTGTAGTTAGTGTATGTTGAGTTACAATCCTTGAACTCGTTCAAAACACTTCTCTGGCCTTTTCCTTCATTATTTTAGGGAACAGAACATCTTGTTTGAGGTGTCTGAGATGCTGCTCTGTGTGGTCCAGCGCCATCTTGGAGTCCAAGAAGGGAGCCTCTAGGCAGCTCTGGGCCAGGGGCCTGGGTGGGTAAGGGAGGAGCCAGGACTCAGTGGACTGCAGTGGCCAACAGCTTCCCCAGGTGAGAAGGAGGGATGCCCTGATACATCATTTTCTATTCATTTACTTTCAACTGTGTGTTACCTTATGCCCTAGAGTTATCTCTTACTCACAGTGCATGCCTGAATTTTTTATTATTTTTTTTCTTTTATTTATGTGTGCATACAAAGTTTGGGTCATTTCTCCCCTCTTCCCCCCACCTCCTCCTTTATCCCCCTACCCACTCGCTACCAGGCAGAAACTATTTTGCTCTTATCTCTAATTTTGTTGAAGAGAGAGTATAAGCAGTAATAGGAAGGACCAAGGGTTTTTGCTAGTTGAGATAAGGATAGCTATACAGGCAGTTGACTCGCTTTGCTTTCCTGTGCATCTGTGTTACCTTCTAAATTAATTCTTCTCTAAATAACCTTTTCTCTACTTCCTGGTCCCCTTCTCCTACTGGCCTCAGTTGCTTTAAAGTATCTGCATTAGTTTCTCTGCATCGAGGGCAACAAATACTATCTAGTTTTTTGGGTGTCTTACCTATCTTCATACCTCCCTTGTGTGTTCTCGCTTTCTCATGTGATCAAAGTCCAATCCCTGTCTTGTGTTTGCCCTTGATCTAATGTCCACATATGAGGGAGAACATACGATTTTTGGTGTTTTGGGCCAAGCTAATCTCATTCAGAATGATGTTCTCCAATTCCATCCATTTACTAGTGAATGATAAGATTTCATTCTTTTTCATGGCTGCATAATTCCAATGTGTATAAATACCACATTTTCTTAATCCATTCGTTAGTATTGGGGCATCTTGGCTGTTTCCATAACTTGGCTATTGTGAATGAGTGCTGCAATAAACAAGGGTGTGCAAGTGCCTCCGGAGTAACCTGTGTCACATATTTTTGTGACTCTTTGGGTACATCCCAAAGAGTGGTATTGCTGAAGATCTATGTTTAGATTTTTAAGAAGCTTGCAAATTTTTTTCCAGATGGTTGTACTAGATTACATTCCCACCATCAGTGTAAAAGGGTTTCTTTTCCCTGCATCCTCCCCAATGCTTGTTTAATGGTGTTGCTAATGATGGCTATTCTAACAGGGGTGAGGTGGAATCTTAGTGTTGTTTTAATTTGCATTTCCTTAATTGCTAGAGATGGTGAGCATTTCTTCATGTGTTTTTGACCATTTGAATTTCTTCTTTTGAGAAAGTTCTGTTTATTCACTTGCCCATTTCTTTATTGGTTCATTAGTTTTGGGAGAATTTAGTGTTTTGAGTCCCCCATATATTCTGGGTATCAGTCCTTTGTCTGATGTGTAGCTGGCAAATATTTTCTTCCACTCCGAAGGTGGTCTCTTCAGTTTAGAGACCATTTCTTTTGTGGAGCAGAAGCTTTTTACTTTTAAAAGTCCCATTGATCTATGCTATCTCTTAGTTGCTGAGCTGCTCGGGTTCATTGAGAAAGTCTTTGCCTATACCTATTAGTTCCAAAGTATTTTCTACTCTTTCCTGTACCAACATTAGAGTTTGGGGTCTGATATTAAAGTACTTGATCCATTTTGAGTTAATGTTGGTATAGGTGATAAACATGGATCTAGTTTCAGTTTTTTTGCAGACTGCTAACTAGTTTTTCCAGCAGTTTTTGTTGAAGAGGCTATCTTTTCTCCATAGTATATTTTTAGTGCCTTTGTCAAAGATAAGTTGGTTATAGTTGTGAGGCTTCATATCCGGGTCCTGTATTCTGTTCCACAGGTCTTCATGTCTGTTTTTGTGCCAGTAGCATGCTGTTTTTATTGCTCTTGCTTTGTAATATAGCTTGAAGTCAGGTATTGTGATACTTCCAGTGTTCTCCATTTTACCGAGTGTTGCCTTGGCTATTCGTGGCTTCTTGTGTTTCCGTAGAAATTTAATGGTAGATTTTTCAATCTCTTTGATGAATGTCTTTGGGATTTTGATGGGAATTGCATTAAACATGTAGATTACTTTTGGGAGTATAGACATTTTTACTGTGTTGATTCTACGAATCCATGAGCATGGGAGATCTCTCCACTTTCTATAGTCTTCCTCAGTATCTTTCTTCAGAAGTTTATAGTTTTCCTTGTAGAGGTCATTCACATCCTTTGTTAAGTTTGCACCTAGGTATTTGATTTTTTTGAGGCTATTGTTAATGGAATTGTTTTCCTATATTCTTTCTCAGTTTGTTCATTATTAGTGTATAGAAATGCTAAGGATTTTTTTATGTTGATTTTATATCTTGCTACCTTGCTATAGCTATTGATGGTGTTTAGGAGCTTTTGAGTAGAGGTTATTTTGGTCTTTAAGGTATAGGATCATATCATCTGCAAATAGGGATATTTTGACAATTTCTTTACCTGTTTGTATTCCTTTTATTCCTTCTTCTTGCCTAATTGCTCTGGCTAGGAATTCCAGTACTATGTTGAATAGGAGTGGAGATAGTGGGCATCCTTGTCTAGTTCCTGATTTAGAAGGAATGTTTTCATTTTTTCTCCGTTAAGTATAATGCTGGCTGTAGGTTTTTCATATATAGCTTTTATAATGTTGAGGTACTTTCCATCTATTCCTGGTTTTCTTAGTTTTTATCATGAAATGATGTTGGATCTTATCAAAGGCTTTTTCTGCATCTATTGAGATGATCAAGTGGTTTTTTTCTTTGCTTCTGTTAATGTGGTTTATTATGTTTATTGATTCTCATACATTGAACCACCCCTGCATTCCTGGATGAAGCCTACTTGGTTGTGGTGAATGATCTTTTTGATGTGTCATTGAATTCAGTTTGCCATTATGTTATTGAGGATTTTTGCATCAATGTTCATTAAGGAGATTGGCCTGTAGTTCTCCTTTTTGGAGGTGTCTTTGCCTGGTTCTAGGATAAGTGTAATACTGGCTTCATAAAACGTGTTAGGCAGTTTTCCTTCCCTTTCTATTTGATGGAAAAGTTTAAGTAGGGTTGGTATCAGTTCTTCTTTAAAGGTCTGATAGAATTCAGCAGAGAATCCATCAGGTCCTGGACTTTTCTTTTTGGGAAGACTCTTGATTGCTGCTTCAATTTCATTTTGTGTTATAGATCTATTCGGGTGTTTAATTTCCTCTTGGTTCAGTTTTGGATGATTATATGTATCTAGAAATCTGTCCATTTCTTTAAGATTTTCAAATTTATTTGAATATAGGTTTTCAAAGTAGTCTCTGATGATTTCCTGGACTTCCATGGTGTTTGTTGTTATCTCCCCTTTTGAATTCCTGATTCTACTAATTTGGGTTTTTTCTCTCCTCATTTTAGTCAGGTTTCTGAGGGGTCTATTGATCCTGTTTATTTTTTCAAAGAACCAACTTTTTGTTTCATTAATTCTTTGTATGGTATTTTTGGTTTCTGTTTCATTGATTTCAGCTCTTATTTTTATTATTTCTCTCCTTCTATTTGTTTTGGGATTTGATTGTTCTTGTTTTTCTAGGAGTTTGAGATGTATTATTAGGTCACTGATTTGAGATCTTTCAGTCTTTTTAATATATGAACTCATGGCCATTAACTCTCCTCTCAGGACTGCTTTTGCTGTGTTGCATAGGTTCTGGTAGGTTGTGTTTTCATTTTCATTGACTTCCAGGAACCTTTCAATTTCCTCTTTTATCTCATCAATGACCCATTGTTCATTAAGCATTGAGTTATTGAGATTCCAGCTGTTTGCATTTTTTTGTCTTTATTTTTTGTTTTTGAGTTCTAGTTTTATTGCATTGTGATCTGATACAATGCATGGTATATCGATTTTCTTATATTCGTTGAGGCTTGCTTTCTGCCCTAGGATATGATCTATTTTGGAGAAGATCATATCTAAGAAGAATGTATGTCTTGTAGAATTTGGATGAAATGTTCTGTAGACATCAACTAGATCCATTTGATCTATGGTATGTTTTAGATCTTGGATTTATTTATTGATTTGTTGTTTGGATGGCCTATCTATTGATGATAGTAGGGTGTTAATGTCACCCACAACCACTGTGTTGGTGTTAATATATGCTTTTAGGTCCTTCACGGTATATTTGATGAAATTGGGTGCATTGACATGGGGTACATATAGGTTGATAATTGTTGTTTCCTTTTGGTCTATTTCCCCTTTTATTAGTATGGAATGTCCCTCTTTATTTTGTTTCATCAATG